GCGAACCGTCGTCAGAAACCATCGCTAGGCCCCAGGAGCTCCTCGAGAGCTCACGGACCAAATGGCGACGACAGGAACCGTCGGTAAAAACGTGCCCCCAGAGCCCATCAGAGGGGGGGACAGGAGGAGAGTCAGGGTGAGGAGAGGGGACCTCTGCCACGTGCCACTTGATCTCCACTCCTCCACTCGAGACCGGCTTAGGGAACACATCACCAGGGTGTTGGAAGCAACCTTACAAAAACAATAAACGGTCATAACCTTCGGACGCGGTGTCGAGAGCTTCTTCTTGAATCCAAGTAGGCACAACCACTTCACGAATGGCGCGGACCTCTGCACACTGACACTGCCAGAGCCGATGAAAAAGGGCATCGCTGGCTTGGCCGCAGCGCACGCACAGAGGCGAAATAGAAGTATATCCAGCCGCCACTGCATCAGATGCCGTCCAGAATCCTCTGCAAGCGAGGGCCCTGATGAGGCCCTTGTCCTTCTTGGGAACCTTGGAAGAGCCTAATAGGTGCTTGGCCACGTCCCAACAGAGCCTATGACCCGCCCCATAGCTGTCCCCAGAGTCCCGTTCCAGACCACGAAGCACGGCCTCCTTGCACAGCAACTTAATCATCTGAGGGGAATTCAGAGTCATCGAAATTTCTCGGCCGAAATCGTCTTTGAGGGTGCAAAAATTCGGCATAGACCAACCCAGCCTATACAGAGACATCCTAAGAGCGGAGATCGGACCCGAAACTTTACTCCAACTGAGGTCATCAAACAGAAAAACATGCTCCCATCCGACTCTGAGCTCGGCCCAGGACAGACTCCACTCGAAACTATGAGTCTGAAGAATCCAGATCTCTCGCGACCAGCGGACAATCGGAGCCACTGCCGCCCTCCAAGGGGGGTCTCCCTCCAGGAGAGAGATGACAGACAACGAGCGGCCTTGCGCGCGAGGCTTGATCGTGCTCATGCCCATTCTCCTCAAAGCTAAAAGCTCACGGTCCGAAACCCCATAAACCTCGGTACCGAAAATCCCGCCAGCCATTGGGCCGGCCGCAAAAATTTTGGTGGCCTTACGCCCGAAGGGCTTTTGAAGCTTCCGAAGCCTGCAAGCCTTGCGCGCCGCAGCCATTAAACGCGCCTTCAGTTTTGAAGCTCTACCTTGCCCGCGAGCTCGGACAGCTTTGCCAGCAGCAGCGTCGATACCTAAGTTGACAATGCTCGCCTTAGCTTCTCCAGCCAATGGCCCAAGCTGGTCATGGATACTATTCGCAACACTCTTATGTGACGTCACAAGCCCGATCTTATCCATGGCCAGCTTGCACTTAAGAGTGGCAGTGATGGCACGATGCAAAACCTGGGCACCTCGAGCGATACCCTGCACAACTTCACGAAACGAACCAGTTTTGCTCAGAGAAGTGTCGTCTATGTAGACATCAAAATCGATTTTGACGCTCCGAGGGATCTCGTCGAAGGCCGACATCGCGAAAACGCGGATCAGAGAAGTAGCTAGGCTACAACCCGCGATGATCCCATTAACCACGAAGTACGGGCCCTCAACAAGACCATTCAACGCCAAAAACCTAGCGGCAGAAAAAGCGTTAATGGCCAGCCTGGCGAGTGAAAGCGGGAAACCGTGCTCACGGCACTTACCCCAGAGGAAACCTAATCCGATGTGCTCGTAATATTTCCTGAAGTCCCAGAACAAGGAAGCCGAGAAATCCCCTTTGCGCGTGCCGATCTCGGCCCGAAAGGCTTGCCTCCAGACAACATCGACTGGGCCTCGGTTGGCACCAGCGGCCCAGTAAACTCTAGGATTGTCAGCCTCCCATTGCGCAACTTCTTTCCTCCTCGACCTCCCCCACACCCTGTAGAAAGCAGGAAATATCCCAATAGGGCGGAACCCACCCGTAGGCTTAGGCAGAAGCGCGAGCAGCACCCACGCGAGCTGCCTAGGAAGCCTGCCTGTCGCTTCTATAACAAACAGAAGATAACACATAGCCTGCAGAGCCTGGTCACCAAGGACAGAAAAATGGCGGCAATGGAATCCGTCCAAGGACACAGCGCTCCGCTCCTGGTACGTTCTAGAAATATCCCGAAGCTCCAGAGGAGTAAGGAGGGAGGCGGGCAAGAGGATAGAGTCATCTTCAATGCCCTTTCCAGTACCCCTTCCCCAGATGGCGTCAAATTTGTCCCCCTCGGCTTTCAAGAGATGTTTGGGGTCAGCAACCACGGTCCCGTTGGAGGAAAGAGTGGTGGAGGGCGTCCAACCTTCAGGATCCTTCAAAGCGGCGTGGGCTCGGCGGCCCCCGTTGTCCAGACCAGCACGAAGCCAATCATGCCAGGCAGTCCTCGAGGAATTGGCTGCACGCGCCTTAGCTTTTGAACAAAGACCGATCACCTCATCAGCCAACTCCTCAAGTTCCGATCGAAACTCGGCCATCCTATCTTGCGTCAAGCTAAGGCCACGCTTGCCTAAGCTTGCGGCAACACGAAACACAACAGCAAAGTCGCTATCAGCAGGAGGCTGGACCGCACCATCTGGTACTGCAAGAGACTTAAGGATATGAGAAGCATTACAAGCGTTGGCGGTCCAGTCCTTACTGTAGCAGACCAGCGCGTGCAACTGGGCGTGCAGCCAATAGATCGGCTTGCCATGTGCGTCTCGTGCCCGCCCTGCAGGCCTAAGAACTGGCTTCCAGTACATCTGCGGACTCTTGCTTCTGCCTGCGCACCGAGCTCCACGCCCATGATGTTGGCAAGGTCCCGCTCCGCAGACCTAGCCCAAGAGGAATAACCTGAGTCCAAAGTACTGACAGCCAAACAAAATCGTCATTCAAAACCGCCTCGTACCCTTTCCGAGCAATTTCCAGGGCCCCAGACCAGTCGCCTTCCTGAGGCTGGGGGCCCACAGGGGGAACCACAGGAATCGGAGGGGGGCGACGGAAGGCGAGAGCCTTGAGGTCCATCAGAGAAGGGTGGAAACTTAACTTGACGGGGAAGTGGGGGCACGAACCAGCAAGGGTGTCCACCTCCTCCTCCTCCTCCTCCTCCTCCTCCTCCTCCTCCTCCTCCTCCTCCTCCTCCTCCTCCTCCTCCTCCTCCTCCTCCTCCTCCTCCTCCCTCCTCCTCCTCCTCCTCCTCCTCCTCCTCCTCCTCCTCCTCTCCTCCTCTCCTCCTCCTCCTCCTCCTCTCCTCCTCCTCCTCTCCTCCTCCTCCTCCTCCTCCTCCCCTCCTCCTCCTCCTACCTCCTCCTCCTCCTCCTCCTCCTCCTCCTCCCCTCGCTCTCCTGTCCTCCTCCTCCTCCGTACTCCTCCTCCTCCTCCTCACTCCTCCTTCCTCCTCCTCCCTCCTCCTCCTCCTCCTCCTCCTCCTCCTCCACAGTTACTCAATATGAATACTACTCTCCCTCTTCCCCCGATGGCGGCCTGAAAGTAGCCCCCCCCCCCGTACTGTTGTTTAACACACTGGATTCCCGGGAGTTGGGTCTTCAACTGCGTTTTTTTCAAAATGCGGCTCTCGCTGAGGCGCCGGCCTCATTTCTGCTCCCGAATCGTTCCGAATCGTGCTCCCGCTGCAGCGTGAGCCTCATTTTCGGATCGGTGTTTGGCCTCCGTCGTTCAGGATGGCGTTTTCGCCCCAGTGCGGGCCTCTTTCTCGCGCGCCCATCCGCCCGCCACCACCGCGCCGTCGACACCACCACCACCACCACGCACCAGCCACCACCACCCCAACCCCAGCACCACCCACCACCTCCACCACCCACCATCTACCACCACCTAGCACCACCACCTTCACCACCACCACCACCCACGCACACGCGCACGCACGCACGCGACTCACGGCACCGCACGCGCACCCCACCCCTAACTGGCAGCTCGCGCGGATCCTCCAACGCTTGTGCTACACACGCGTCCTGCGGATAGAGAGAATCAGCGCCGATGGTAAGGGTGGGAATGGATGGAGGAGGTTGGTAGTCACGTTCAGATATGACAGCGGCGCACCTAGTTTTGCCCGCTTCCCGCCCTCCTCCTCCTCTTCCTCCTCTTCCTCCTCCACAATTACACAATATGAAAATACTCTCCCACTTTCCCTGATGGCGTCCCGAAGATATCCGACCCCCCCCCGCGGATTGTTTTTTACACACAGGATTCCCGGGAAACGGGGGTTCGCTTGTGTTGTTTTTCAACATGCTGCTCTCGCCGAGGCGCCGGCCTCATTTTCGGGCCCAGCTCGTTCCGAATCGTGCTCCCGCTGCAGCGCTGGCCTCATTTCCGTGCTTCCGCTCGTTCCGAATCGTGCTCCCGCTGCAGCGCTGGCCTCATTTCCGCGCTTCCGCCCGTTTCGACTCGTGCTCCCGCTGCAGCGCTGGCGTCATTTCCCGTGCCATGCCACAGCACACGCGAACACACGCACACACACACACACACACACACACACACACACACACCACACCACCACCACCACCACCACCACCACCACCACCACCACCACCCACCAAAACTAACCACACCACCACCACCACCATCAGTACCACCAACCACCATCACCAGCACCAACACCACCACCACCCCACCACCACACCACCACCACCACATACCACGCCACACGCAGCACGCACTGCACGCGCACCACCACCACCCACGAGTCCGAGATGGAACCTTAGAGTAAAACCAGCGCCATGGTAAGGGATTTGGGTGGGGGGTTAGGACGTCAGATTTATGCTTGAGACTACCTGAAGCTTCCCCCTCCCTCCCCCTCCCCCCCCTCCCCCCTCCTCCCTCCTCCCTCCTCCGTCTCCCTCCTCCCCTCCTCCCTCCTCCTCCTCCTCCCCTACTCCTCCTCCTCTCCTCCTCCTCCTCCTCCTCCTCTTCCTCCTCCTCCTCCTCCTCCTCCTCCTCCTCCTCTTCCTCCTCCTCTCACTCCTCCTCCTCCTCCTCCTCCTCCCGCCGCTCCCTCCTCCTCCTCCTCCTCCTCCTCCTCCTCCTCCCCCTCCTCCTCCTCTTCAGTGCCCTCCTCGATCGTCCCCTTCGGGCCGCGCGGCCCGCAGGCTGAGGGCGTAGAGCGGCAGGACGGCGGCGAAGAGCGGCGGCCAGGCCTGGGGCAGCACCAACGCCCGAGGGCCTCCTCGAATTTCGATCCTTCGAATAGATCGACTACTCCGAACTTCCTATTAATCAGCTGGGGGGGACAAACGTGAAACCAAGATTGCCTCCACACGGCTCTATAAGTCCCCAAGACGTTTGAAACGTCCAATTTCCGACGGAAAACGTACATATTCACCAGATTCGCCCTTTCGGCTTCCACGCAGCGCAAAACGGTCCAATAAACCTCCAAGATCGACCCTCGCCAGCCCAAGAGGCTCCCAAAAAGGCTCCAAGACGGCGTCCGGGCGATCCACGAAGGCCCCAGAAACCATAGCAACGGCCCAGGAAAGCCGCAGGATTGTCCCAAGAGGGCTCCAAAACGGGGCAAGAGGGCCCCCAAAGGCTGTCCGGACGGCCCACGCGGGGGACGATTCGGTCCAAACCGCCCAAGATCGCCGCCAGACGGCCACAAGGGTGTCCAAGACGTTTGCATACGCGACCACGAGGCGCTCCAAGAAGGCCTCCAAAAGCAAAAACCGTCTCATTCCCTAGGGAAAACGTACATGTTCAGCACATTCGCTCCTTGGGCTTCCACGAGGCCCACAACGGCACAATAAACCTCCAAGATCGACCCCCGTCACCCGAAGAGGCTCCCAAAAAGGCTCCAAGACGGCGTCCGGGCGATCCACGAAGGCCCCAGAAACCATAGCAACAGCCCAGGAAAGCCGCAGGACGGTCCCAAGAGGGCTCCAAAACGGGGCAAGAGGGCTCCCAAAGGCTGTCTGGACGGCCCACGCGGGGGACGATTCGGTCCAAGCCGCCCAAGATTGCCTCCAGACAACCCCATGGGCGTCCAAGACGCTTGCATACGCGACCACGAGGCGCTCCAAGCAGGCCTCCACAAGCAGAAACCGTCCCGCTCCCTGGGGAAAACGTACATGTTCAGCACGTTCGCTTCTTGGGCTTCCACGAGGCCCACAACGGCCCACTAAACCTCCAAGATCGACCTCTGGCACCTCAAGAAACTGTCCAAAAGGCTCCACAACGGCCTCCGGGCGCCCCACGAAGGCCCCAGAAACCATAGCCACGGCCCGGGGGAACGGCAGGACAGTCCTAAGAGGGTTCCAAAACGTGTCGAGAAGGGCCTCACAGGCTGTCCGGACAGGCCACACGGAGGACGATCGCTGCCGCCCCAAGGCGTCGGCGGTGTTGCGTAAGCCCATGAATCCACGTCCGGAAGTGACGTGCTGAGCGGCAGCGTTTTCCGCGGATGCTGTAACGCAGTGGATCCAATGTGTCCAATGTTTGCATAATTCCCACATACTGTATTGTGTTACGTTATTATGTATCCCCCCCTAACCCCCCCGGCAGTCGCGCCACATGAAGGAACCAAAATGGCCCCTCCTCCCGGGGCCCTAACAACCGACAAAAACCTATGACAAATCAACAAATTCGGCCTTTTGGGGCTCCAAGAGGGCCTCAAGATGGCCCAAAATGGCCCCAAGACCGCCCAAGACGGCCCCAAGACGGCCCAAGATATTCCCAACGGGGGCTCATGAGGCCCCCAAAACGTCCCCAAAAGCTCCAAGGACGGCCCAAGAGGGCTCCAAGAGCGCCCACAACTGCGCCTCCAGAGGCCGAAATCATTGATTTCCCCTTGGTTTTTGCCATAATTTAGCGTTCTCGTCTTTTTCGACTTTCACAAATCCATGACGGCCCAAGCAGCTTCCAGAATCGCCCCAGAGCCAGTCAAAAAGCCCCCAAGAGGGCCCCAAGACGGCCCAGGAGGGCCCCAACGGGCCCCAAGAGGCCCCCAAGACGGTCCAAGAGGCCGCGAAGACAGCCCAGCAGGACCCCAATACAGCCCCAAGGCGGCCGCGAGAGGCCCCCAAGACGGCCTCCGAAGGAGCGAAACGGCGCAAAAGCGCGTCAAGACGGCCGAAGACGCCCCGAAAAGGCCCCAAGAGGCCCCCACGAAGCCTCCAAAAAGCCCCCCAAAAGCCTCCAAAAGGCCCCCCCAAAAAAAAACCAAAGGCCACACAGCGACTGGATTGTAATGTTATTTTCCCCCCTCTGGGCGAACTGCTGCGCAGCGCCAGCCAGGTGGAAGTTGGCCGCTGCGGCGCCCATGATTAGAGCCGGCGCTGGAAGGGAAGATGGGGAGGGTGTATGAAAAAGGAGGGTGGGGGGAAAGGCCCCAAAGAAGTCCCCAAGAGGCCAAAAGAAACTCCCAGGAGGCCTCCAGGAGGCCCCCAAAAGGCTCCCAAGGGGCCCCGCGACGACGTGACTGTACGTGCTCCGGACGTGCACCCCGCGAAGCGAGAGGAATCCACGTCCGGAAGTGACGTGCTGAGCGGCAGCGTTTTTCGCGGATGCTGTAACGCAGTGGATCCAATGTGTCCAATGTTTGTATAATTCCCACATACTGTATTGTGTTACATTATTATGTATTCTCCCCGAACCCCCCCTGGGAGCTGCGCCACAGGAACGGACCAAAGTGCCCCCCCCCTCCCGGGGCTCAAAAAAACCTACCGAAACCTATAGGAAATCAGATTTCGACCTCTTGGGCCTCTTGGGGGGCCAAGAGGGCGCCAAGACGGCTCAAGATGGGCCCTGCGCGGGCCAAGACGAGACGGTCCAAGATGGCCCCAAGAGGGCCCAAAAAGCCCCAATGACGGCCCAAGAGGGCCCCAAGAGCGCCCACAACTGCGCCTCCAGAGGCCAAAATCATTGATTTCCCTATGGTTTTGGTAATATTTTAGCGTTCTCGCCTTTGCGGCCCAAGCAGCTTCCCAAATCGCTCCAGAATAACCCAAGAAGCCCCCAACAGGGCCCCAATACGGCCCAACAGAACCCCAAGACGGCCCAAAGAGGCCCCCAAGACGGTCCAAGAGGCCCATATGACGGCCCAAGAGGACCCCAATACAGCCCCAAGGCGGCCGCGAGAGGCCCCCAAGACGGCCTCCGAAGGGGCGAAACGGCGCAAAAGCGCCCCAATACGGCCAAAGACGCCCCCCAGAGGCCCCAAGAGGCCCCCAAGAGGCCCCCAAGAGGCCCCCAAGAGGCCCCAAAAAGCCCCCAAGAGGCCTCCAAGATGTCTTCAAGAAGCCTCCCAAAGACTCCAAAGAAGCCCCCCCAAGGCCACACAGCGACTGGAGCGCAATGTCATTTTCCAACCTGGGCGAATTGCGGCGCAGCGCCAGCCAGGTGAAGTTGGTCACAGCGGCGCCCATGATTAGAGCCGGCGCTGAAGGAAATATGAGGAGGGAGTATGAAAAGGAGAGAGGGGGGAGAGGCCCCAAAGAAGTCCGCAAGAGGCCCAAGGAAGCTCCCAGGAGGCCTCCAGGAGGCCCCCAAGAGGCTCCGCGACGACGTGACTGTACGTGCTCCGGACGTGCACCCCGCGAAGCGAGAGGAATCAACTGAGGGGGGACAAACGTGAAAACAAGGCGCGGCCAACCCCCCCCTGGCACCACCCCCGCGCCCCAGCGGGGAAGGGAACGAACCTCATAACCCCCCTAGCACCCTCGCGGACACGCCGCGGCCAACCCCCCCTGGCACTCCATGGAGGGGGCGATTATCAAGCGATCCAGAGTACATGATTGACTTACCCAAGAATTGCTTTTTCGTCGGGCACTGCCCCGCGGGCCCAGAGCGGCGCCGCCAGCGACAGGCACGCCCACCACACGTGCAGCGCCGCCGCGGCGGCGGGCCGCTGCCGGAGCTCCTCCAGGAGCGCCGCGTGGCGGTCGAAGGCGAGGGCCCGGCCGCAGCGCTCCAGGGTGGCGCCCGCCTCGGGGGCCGGCGGCACGCCTAGGGTCATGTCGGGCCCGTCCCCCTACAGGAGGATTGTCGACGAAAAAGAAAGAGCACCCCAAAAGTACCACCGAAAAGGTCAAAAAATACTCAAAATTATCCCGGCAAAGCAACCTAACAGCGATGTGTAGGAGCATATCTGGAAGCATTCCCCTTAAGATTCAGATAAGAATACTGTTGTAGAATTCTGCTGTTCTCGCAGTCGTGGTCGCATTCGCGATGGCAGTCGCAGTGGCAACAGCAGTCGCAGTCACAGCCTCAGCCTCAGCCTGCCTCAGCCTCAGCCTCAGCCTGCCTCAGCCTCAGCCTGCCTCAGCCTCGCCCTCAGCCTGCTTCAGCCTCAACATCAGTCTGCCTTCAGCCTCGGCCTCAGCCTGCCTCAGCCTCACCCTCAGCCTGCATCAGCCTCAGCCTGCCTCAGCCTCGCCCTCAGCCAGCTTCAGCCTCAACATCAGTCTGCCTTCAGCCTCGGCCTCAGCCTGCCTCAGCCTCACCCTGCATCAGCCTCAGCCTCAGCCTCAGCCTGCCTCAGCATCAGCCTGCCTCAGCCTCAGCCTCA